TATATAGAACAGTAAAGTAAAAAGGAATAAAAAGAGAATACTTAACAGGCCTGGGTTTATGAGTTTCTGACAGAGTCCAGTTCAATAAACACAAGATGGGTCTGAATGGCTCTTCTCCAAGCAAGGCTTGCACAGATATTAAAGGGGAACTCTTTTGGATGAACTTTTTGATATTGCAGGAGTCCCTCATCTTGATGTTACAAGAGCCTCCTCCAGCTGCCTCTGCAGCATTTTTTTTGTCAGCCCTCTAGGGGGTGTCATGGGGCCAGTCCCAAAGGCAGGGCTGGAGAAGCAGGAGGGCTAAGCCTTTGTGATGTCCTCCTCCCAACTGTTAAATTTCATATCCGAGATTATAGTGGAATATTGATGCACAACACTGTCCAACAACCCCTAAATTATGATGCGTCATGAAAGTAGCTTTATATTGAGACCAAACTTGGCAGAGATATGAATGATCGGCCAGTAGGGCAAATGTCACCTGTCAGGCCCCTGACCATCGTAACCTTGACATTCCTGGTATGTCTGTTTTTGTCTTGACGAGGCACTGCTATTGGTGCACTTATTTTCCACTATCACTGTCCAATTCCAAGTTACGAAATTGGATTGATAATGTAACTCAGTTCTATGACTATGGGTGCCCGCAAGGTCAGGGTCATCACCTTTACCAGGCCTGTGTGTTTATCTAAAACCTGTCAATTGCTATTTTATTAGGGGATTAGCCGAGCTGGGCAAACCCATTACCATGCTATTAGGAATTTATGATACCGCTCATAAAAGGTATCGCTTAAACTGATTAACGCCAGGTCCAGGGGAAACGCTAGATAACAATTGGTTTTAGTGCTTCACTTAAGAACTATAAAAGACTACAGGCCCAGATTAGCAGATCTCTTTTTTTGGAATTTGAAAAGACCTGGCAAGCTGAATTGACTACAACTAAATGAAAGGCTGCATTTGCTTTAAGCTGTGGGACAAGATAATTTCATTTATAATATTAATAGGCTCAAACCTCATTATCGTCACACCCTCTTCGTCCAAGGTCCAACCAGGGGGTACACCCTGAAAGCTTGTCTTGAAAATGTAACCGTTTGTGCAAATAAAAAAATTACTTAACGGTGTTGTTACAAGTGTACAATTATGGCTACAGTCACCTTAATCATTAATATATGTTTTGTACTAGACTTTACTGAATTTTTCTATAGGTACACATTTTATCGTCCAGTCTACAAGAAAGCGTGTTTTACATGCGACTTCTGCGTCCAACATGATTGCTATTCAATACTTTCATGATTATTTTTCATATACAGAGCTGTATAATAGGGCAGCACAGTGGTGTAGTTGTTAGCGCTTCTACCTTGCCCTTCTTGGTCACCATCTCCAAAGAGTTTGCATGTTCTCCCTGTGCTTGTGTGGGTTTGATTTGGGGGGATGTATTAAGCAATTATGTATTGTCTGCACTGTATTAGCAGTATATACTCTATATAGAGTATATACTGCTAATACAGTGCAGACAATACATTTACAATTATACTAACACGAATGTATTAAATGATCTGTATGTAGCCCTGTACTATGGATCATTTAACCCATTCATGTTAGCAGAGGATCATTGTAAATGTATTGTTGCAGGCACTCTATATGTACATGTACTATATACTACATATAGAATGCACTGAACAATAGATTTACAATTATCCTCTGCTAATATGAATGGGTTAAATGATCCGTAGTACATGATATGTAGCCCTGTACCCCCTTTTCCACTTACAGAGCTAGGTTATTGTTTTTCTTTTAAATAAATATTCATGTAATTTTATTGGTATCTATCTTCATTTTGTACATTTACCAGTAGCTGCCTCATTTCCCACCCTAGGCTTATACTCGAGTCAATACTTTTTCCCAGTTTTTTGTGGTAAAATTAGGTACCTCGGCTTATATTCGGGACCGCTTATACTCGAGTATATACGGTATAATGTCTGTGCAGTACTAAACAGGAAGCCGATGCATATGTAACTAATAAATATAGCTGCCCCCAAGCACTTGAATATTTATCAGCTATACATTGTCCTCAGTATACACTCAGGAGGGAAACGGGTTTGACGTACGTGATAAAACACATAGTTCAACCGATAATATACCACAATGGTTGATAGAAAGCGGAATAGAACATAGACTTAAAATGCTCAATGCAAATAAAAGCAGTTGGACCAGATAACCTTCACCCCAAGGTACTTAAGGAATTAAGCCAGGTTATAACATGACCATTATTCCTAATTTTTACAGGAATCCTTAGTGACTGGTAGGGTACCATGTGATTGGCGGAGGGCTACGGTAGTTCCAATATTCAAAAAGGGGGCTAGATGCCAACCAGGGAACTATAGGCCGGTCAGTCTAACATCGGTAGTTTGTAAACTGTTAGAAGGTATAATTAAGGACTATTTGGTAAAAAAAAAAAAGAAGTCCTTAAATTGGTATACCTGGATTTATCAAAGGCATTTGATACGGTACCACACAAGCGCTTACTTCACAAGCCGAGGGCTATGGGCATAGATGAGGTGGTGTGTACGTGGATAGAGAACTGGCTACGGGAACGTGTCCAGAGAGTATCTGTAAATGGCACCTTTTCAGACTGGGCTAGTGTAATGAGCGGTGTGCCTCAAGGATCTGTGCTGGGTCCGATACTGTTCAACCTATTCATTAATGACATCGGGGAGGGAATAAATAGCCATGTTTCCGTGTTTGCAGACGATACAAAAATAGGGAGGGTACTAGAAATGGATCGTGACAATATAACATTGCAGGAGGACCTGGATAAAAAAGGGGAGTGGACAATACTGTATAGCAGATGAGGTTTAATGTCGATAAATGCAAAGTAATGCACTTTGGACATAAAAATAAACAAATAGGCTATACAATCATGGGTATGCCGCTAGGGAAGTCAGAAATAGAAAAAGATTTGGGGGTCATTGTAGACCACAAACTGAATGGTAGCTTGCAGTGCCAAGCTGCGGTAAACAAAGCTAGCAGGGTCTTGTCCTGTATTAAGAAGGGGATGTATTGCAGGGACAAGTCTATAATTGTGCCTCTATATAGATCGTTGGTTCGGCCACATCTGGAGTACGCGGTCCAGTTTTGGTCGCCGGTACTGAGAAGGGATGTCCTTGAACTGGAGAGAGTCCAGCGGAGGGCAACAAAACTAATTAGGGGAATGGAGGACCAGAGCTATGAGACAAGGCTTCTGACCTTAAACATGTTTACGCTGGAATTAAGGAGATTAAGGGGGGATATGATTTTCATGTACAAGATGTTCAATGGTGACAGCAACATTGGCAACAAACTGTTTGAGATTAACTCCATTACAAAGACTAGAGGCCACCACCTAAAGTTGGTGGAGAAAAAATTCCAGCACAATGGGCGAAGAGGGTTCTTTACAGTAAGAGCGGTTAAGGTCTGGAACTCACTGCCATCGGCAGTGATTTCAGCCAAGAGTGTAGATTTGTTCAAGAAACGTTTGGACAATTTCTTGAGGGACCGTAATATCCATGGATACCAGTATCCCTAAGAATGAGATGATGCGTGGACCTATATGGGTTGGACTTGATGGACGTATGTCTTTATTCAACCCCAAATACTATGTAACTATGTAAACAGGTTTATGGTATATTAATGCAGAAGCAATGGAGTTTTGGTCTCCCTGGAGCTTCTGACACAATGTACAGGTTGGCACAGCACCTTTGCACATTATGGTACCCTTAACTTGTAAAGTGCCCTCTCCAGTGCTGTGACATGATCCATGATCTCCCAAGCACTGTCAGCATCACACCCAGGCAACCAGCATTTTCAGGAAGAACATGTTCCTTCTTCCTGTGACAGCACAGGTAGTCTCTGCCCCCACACCGCTCTGCCGTGATAGACGGCCGAGCGGTGTGGGAGGAGAGACACTGGACGCTCACAGCGCTCTCCTCCCGCAGAGCTCGGCCGCCTGCGACACTTTCTCTTCCCCCCCCAAAAAATACAAAAATTAAAGAATCATAAAAAATAAAGAAGCATTGAAAAAATATAAACAGAATTTTTTTTTTTAAAGTCCTCTGCCCCCCACATGCAGATATGCGTCGGGTGCACCTACGTGCGAAAACAACGATTATGCCTATTGTGCCGCACATGTTACATATAACCGCGAACGTCTGAGTGTGAGCAATAATTTTAGGGCCATTAATTACTGATAACACTAAACTGATGAGCGGTGAAAGCGTTTTAAGTGTCGTCTATGGCCAATTTTCAGTGTGGTCGTTTTTCTTTGCGATTTTGCGGGATATCTGTCCCCAAAATTTTTTAACATAAATTGCAAAGCTATAGTCTGGTCATGCTGACTGCTGACATTTTTGACTGACTGGTGAGACACCATCACATTTTTGAAACACTGTAAATGAACATAAAAATTGGCATAAAAAACTACTCGCATGGTAATAACTGGATGAAAAGGTACAAGGCAGATCCACAAAAGCTACCTCGCTAGCGGACACGTTTTGGGGGATATTCCTCCTTCCTCAGAGCTCTATCTTTGGCATATGTCTAGGATGCAAGTAGAGATTCTGAAGCTGACCACAGGTTCTAGAGGTGGATGGGAATTGCAGCCAACAGATCAGAAACACATAACTGATTATTTTTGCAATCCACTCACCCCTCCCCCACTATTTGGTAACTTGAGAGTGACAGTTTGCATACAGTTTCTCCTTAGGAAGGATTTCATCGGGTAACACCAGTATGCCAAGCAGCAGTGTAGAAACAAAGTACAAACACATATACAAATAGACCGAAAGCTTAAAAGGGTCAGGTAAAGGTTGGTAATAGAGACATGGTCTTCCTTTGACAGATTAACAGTATGAACAAATCCGTGGCTTGTATGGCACATTCAGTACACTGAAACATTAGCCACTTATCAGATGTTCTATTACATCGAGTCAAAACACATACAGCAGATTTTATTTAAATTGAACATCTGCCAAACAGCTAAATACACAAATTAAAATGCATAAAAGAAGCCATTTTATCTGTCAAAAGGATTTGTATTTCTGTCCATGCAGTCCCAAAATGTATACAGCTCTGCTTTACAGCACATGCATGCAAGGCAGGGCAGAAGCCCTAATTTTCCACTGTTAAGGTTAAGTAATACTTCAGGTCTCGTCCCTCCCCCAGCTAGTGCATGGGCAGTGAAAGAAGCAGTACACAGACAAGCTCATCTCCGACACTCTACTCCTATCAGAATGTTTCTTGTTAGCACATGAGCACTGCAGCACACCTGACTGGCTTCTTGTGCTGCTTCTCCCTCTCCCAGTCTGAGCTCTGCAAGTTGCTGATAGCAAGTCAAATTTAGAAATTTACACTGCTTTAATTTAAAAAAAATAAAAATGGCGTAATACTGAATACAGAGCTGTATTAGCATGTGTTTTTTAGATCTACCAGGAGGTCAGCCTAACTAATACAAACAGCTTGAAATCAGGTTATCTGTGTTTCCAATGACATGAGGTGACAGAACTCAAACCTGTCTCAAACACTATAGCTTTCCTGCTAGTAAGCCAGCTCTAGTTTCCACTCAGCACTGCCTCTCCCCATAGAAGATCATTTAAACTTAGCGGAGACAACCTTATAGAACAAGCAACAGAATTATTTAGCAGGTGCATTCCGTTTGGGTGGTTGGGTGGTTAAATCTTCCTTCTGTATTTTGTTGGTAGCTGAAGTTGTCCACCGACCTACAAGGATGGTTGGAGGTGCACATTTGATACAATAGGCACCAGGATCTGCTGGAGGGTTCATGAACAGGAATGTTCTGATTGGCCAAACATTCCTATTTTTGTAAATGAGAGGGAAGGGAGAAGAAGCAGTACTAATCTTATTAGAGAGAACAATAGCAAACTGATACAAATTTCTGACCCAACTGACTGATCACCCAGACAGCAGCCAGTCAGAGTTGTGGGCCTCCTACAGACATAAGATTATTGATTGATTTTGGAAAAAAGTACCCTTGTTCTATGTTCTGACATGAATGCCTCCCCCTGAGGTCTGTCTCACCTTTATGCGATCTGCACTACTGTTAAAGAGACCAAGCCTTCGAATAGTGTTTAAGATTGCGTCAGAAGAGTCATCAAGCATGTTGTGTGTGCATACTGGAGGGAATGACTGTCTCTGTGGAGAAAACAGGATTCTTTAAAAAAGGACAGCAAACACAAATTCCTCAACTTAATCCATCAAACTAACATACAAATGTGAGATATTGTATTCATCATGAGCTCCCTACCTGGGTAGCAAAAATGGCTCTCTTCATCATAGTGAAATCTTCTTTATCCAGCATCTTGTTCATGTCAGGTAAATTCCCTCTGCAATTAAAACACAGCCAGGTAATGTTCAGTGACAGATCTCTTTACTTTGGATATTATTTGACGAGGTAAGATAACCTTACTATACAACATTACAGTATAACACTTCCTTTGCAATCTGCTGCACATGCTTCATATACGTAATTATGTTTCATTACAACGGTTTCCTACGTTCAGGATTACGCACCAGTTCACATTAGTGCGGTTTGTGGAACATTTGGCATCGTGCTACTATGCGCGACAATGGAAATCCCAGTGCAACATGCATGCACCTATGCAATGAAACAAAATGTGCAGGCGATTATTTGGGGGATACACTGTGTGATTTTGGCTCCATAGACGCACAAAAATGCAAAAAAAAAAACAAACTGCACATAATACATTTTTGTGTGTTTTAGCACATGAGAACAAGTCCCCACCCCCTTGCAACCTATAATTTATTTCACCTTAAGGAGCACTATGGGGTTAAGGCTTTTCCACATAGTTCTCCTTAGGGTAACGGGAGGACACAAACTAGCGTCCTCCTGTCACCCTAGGCTCAGTATACAGCTTGCTGTATACTGAGACGCCGCAGCTGAAGCGGATCCCGACAATTGTGCCGGGATCCGCCCAGCTGCGTGACTGACAGCTGGCTCTGCCTATCTAGAGGCAGAGCCAGCTGTACCCGCCCCTTCCCCGTCCGTTCCGCCAGTCAGCACTGGCGGATCGGAGCGGGGAGGGGGGAATCCAGCCCCTCCCGTCACGGCCGAGAGCCGTGACAGGATCGAGAGATGAGCGAACGCCGGTATGTGTTCGCTCACCTGCCAATCTACTGAGCCGACCTGCGACAGTCTCATTGTCAGAGGTCGGCTAGAACTATGAGGTGAGTGAAAATCACACACCTCATAGTTCTCCTTTAAGAGACACAGCAAAAAGCTAAAAATGCATGAAGATGCACAAGTATGAATGGAAAAGGGGGCTAGATTGGAGGAGGCAATTCCATTTTCACAAATTCACCTGGGAAAGTGGAATTACATATTAAAAGGTTACATTTGACCTATTATGTAATTAACTTAGTTCATTTTGCTCTGGAGAAAGCGCCAGCAATGAAAGTAACCCTTTCAATCGCTGGTGTTTTTTCTCCAGAGCAAAATTAACCAAGTTCATTACATAATTGGTCAAATGTAACCTTTTAAACCAAAAAGTAAAAACACAAAAAATAGTGTTACAATACAATTGTTGTAAAAATTGCACTTACACTAATAAAGACTCGTACAATTTCTTTCCAAACTTTTCTTTTACTGCATTGGCTGTATCCCTATGAAAAGACAATAAAGGGTATAGGCAATGTTACTCCTTCACACACAACAGAAACCAACATAAGAAGAATACACTGGAAAAAGGTATTGTCATTGTACCAAGTTTCTGCAGTAGACAGAAAATGATTTTTTAAAAATCCACCTTTCCCCCTTTCAAAATAATGGGGAGAGAGAGAGAGGGGAGAGGAAGAGAGAGAGAGGGGGGAG